TTGTGCGGAGGCAGATGGCTTGGAATGCTTGAATGGTTCTTGTGTTTGATGGTTTAGCGGTTCCCCATAGAGCGATTCCATATGGCCAGACAGGTTGCAGTAGAGATTTTTAGAGTAGTAGACGATTGGAGATGGACATGTTTGATTTCATGAGAGGCCTAAGGATGTGTAAGTGGCTATTTAATTGTTTACGTTTGGTTTTGAGGTGGGGGCTCCAGGTGAGCCTTCTGTCAAACAGTAGACCAAGATATTTGGCTTCGTTTGTGTGAGGGATGATTGCGTTCTCATATATTATGTGAGGACAGTTTCCGGGGCGGAGGGAGAAAGTGATATGAGAGGATTTGGAGTCGTTGATCTTAATTTTCCATGAATTGAACCAGTTGGATAAGCTGTTCAGATGGTTTTGAAGTAGGCCGCTTGCTTCGTGTGGTTCTTGACTGGATGAAAGTATTGCGATGTCGTCAGCATATGTTCCTATTAGGGTGTTGTCCGTTGATGGAATGTCAGCTGTGAACAGTATGTATAGAAACGGGGCGATGTCACTTCCCTGAGAGACACCTGCTAGAATGTTATGTGTGCTAGATAATGTAGTTTTTAATTTGACTCTGAAAGTTCTGTTATTTAGGTATGATTTTAGGAGTAAATAATACGGTGCAGGAAAGATTTTTTTAAGTTTGAATAATAAACCGTCGTGCCAGAAAGTGTCGAAGGCTTGAGCTACGTCCAGAAAAAGCCCTGAGAAATATTTTTTTGTTTCTAGAGATGTAGTAATGTGATCTACTACACGGTGGAGTTGGTGAAAAGTTGCATGTTTGGCTCGAAAACCGAATTGGAAGTTGGGAAGGGCATTTTGTGTGAGTGCGATTTTTACAAGTCTCTTGAGAAAAAGTTTTTCAAAAATTTTGCCAAGCGTGAGTAGTAGACTGATTGGTCTATAGGATTCGGGCATATCTGGTTGTTTGCCTGGTTTAAGTATAGTTATAATGAGCGCTGATTTCCATGTGGTAGGGAAATGAGATAGTCGAAATATAGCATTAAAGATGTAGGTGAGAAGAATAATGGTTTTTGGTGGTAAGTTTTTCACTGTTGTGTTATTTATGTGATCATGGCCGGGTGACTTATTTTTCTTGAGTGTTTTAATAATTGGAAGAACTTCGCCGGGAGTAGTGGGCGAGGCTGGAAGTGCCATGAGCAGAGGTGAAGAGATGAATTGATCAACTTCACGTGTGTGAGTAGCATCAGGGAAAATGTTATGAGGTTTAAATGTATTTGCAAGATGGTTGGCCAGGAAATCTATTTTTTCTTGGTCGGTGGTAGCGAGTTTGTTATTTTGATGGATAAGAGGGGGGAATGGCAGATTTATGCTTTAGAATAGATTTGGTTTTTCTCCAGAGAGACCCGTTTGAAGGTGAGAGAGATTGAATATGGGAGGTGTATAGTTGATTTTTATGTTTCTTGAGAGTTGACTTGAGTTTGTTGGAGAAGTAATTGTACCGTTGTTTGTCAATCGGGTAATGAGTTCGTTGCCATGTGTTTCGAGCCCGACGTTTTTGAGAGATGAGCTCTCTTATTTCTGGAGTGATAAGACTTTTGTAGTTTTCTTGGGTTGCCACTGTAGTGGAAGATATTAGAAGTGTATCTTGAATGTTGTTTGTGAGGGTGTTTATGGCTGTATCTATGTCGGTCGGGTTTTTTAACTTAATGTTTAAAGAGGAGGAAGTTGACATAATATTGCGAAATGTATTCCAGTCTGTGCGTTTTTTGACGAATGGGTGGATGTAAACATTTGCTTGAATTTTGAGGATAAGTGGTGTATGGTCGGAAGCAGGGTCATTTAGGTTAAAAATATTTTTTTTTGATGTGATTGGGAAGGTTGGATAGGAAAAAATCAAGATAATCAGGGTGGCGGTTTGCGTGAGTTGGCCAGTAGGTGGGGGAGGGTGGAGAAATGATTTTGGAGCGCTTGTTTGTTATAAAGTTGTTTAGAGTACGGCCTCTAGTATTTTTTGAGTGGCATCCCCAAGTTTCGTGCTTGGCGTTGAAGTCGGCGCCGATGACGTATGTGTGATTTAGTGTTTGAAGAAATAGTGACAGATCTTCTGTAGGAAAAGGTGATCCTGGTGGAAAGTAGGCAGATGCAATAGAAGTTGGTATGGAGTTAATATTTATAGATGTAGCTACTATCTACATGTGTTGATTAGATTTAGGGGGAAAAGGTGAGTGTGGGATTTTATTAGATATTAGTAATGCGGCACCGGCGTGGGCTGAGTCATCGGGGTGATTGGCTTGGAGGCATTCGTATCCAAACATTTTGAATTTTGAGGTGGAGGTGAGATGAGATTCGGAGATAAGAGCTACATCTATGTTTTTTTCTGCTAGAACTAGTTTAAGTTCATCAGTGTTGTTGGTAATTCCGTTTGCGTTCCAAAGAAGAATGGTCAAGGCGGATAATTTATTTTCGGCCATTGTTTGAGATAAGTTTTTCGATGAGTGATGTAAGTAGGGATATCAGGGGATTGATTAGTGACCTGAATTCCGTGATGAAAGACGTGAGTTGATCCGTCGTGTTATTCGGAACATTAGGAGATTCTTTTATTGTTTTGTGTGAATTATTGTGGGTATTTTGTGGAAGAGGAGGGAATTCCACAAGGGTGTTTATTTGAGGTTCTTGTGTGGAGGAAGATGCTTGATGGTTTGGGGCGTTTTTGTGCCAGGGGTTCGTTGGTGAGAGTTTTCTGTTTTTGTTGAGTTCTTTGTGTACCGAGCAACCTTTGTAGTTGGCAGGATGTGGGCCACCGCAAAGGGCACATGTAGCGGGTTGGCTTTGATCTTTTTGGCATGATGTTGAGTCATGGAGATCACCGCAGCGAACACATCTGGGGTGGTGGTTGAAATAGGCGCGTGTATGGCCATATGATTGGCAGCGAAGACATTGGGGGATATCTTTTCTGGGACGCGGAGCTTCGACTTTTATTTTTGAGTAGCATAAGAGAGAAAGCTTGAAGATTTCAGGGTTGTTAATATCCGGTTCTAAGTCGATGAAGAACATAGGGAAAGGTTACTTGGAAAATATAGTTACTATAAAAATATTTATTTATTGAAATACATTAGTGATGATTGGCTGTTTGTCTTAATATAATATTATTGAAAAATAAAATAATTTGGAAATAAAATTTATAATTCACATTCAATAGTGAAAATACGTGTGTTACATGCTACGACAACATATTTTTTTAAATTTTCGAATATAAATGATCGGCGATTGGAACGTAGTATTGATTTATACTGACTGAAGCTCCGTTCAACGTCACATGATGTAGTTAGCGCATATTTAAATAAAGACATTTATCTTGGTAATAAATTACAACTGAATTTTTTTTTTTTTTTTATTTATTTAAGGATTCAAATACATCATTTATTAGCCTACAGTGGTTTACGAAATTAGTTTATATATATATATGCTCCATTGTTTTAGATGTTCGATGCGAGATCGGCTATCTTGATGAAGTCTAATATTCTTTTTTCTTCTCCATAGTTGAATGCTTCTTTGAGTGAGCTTGTGTTTAAGTTTGATTTCGTTCGAGCGTTCTGGTAGTTGGGGCATTCTAAGAATATATGTTTGACGCTAAGTTCGTTGAGGCACGTTTCACACCTGGGCTCCTTACGCTTCAAGTGAGAATGTGTGAGTTTGGTGTGCTCAATGCGTACTCGGGTAATCATGATCTCCTCGTGACGTGTTAGTTTAATTAGTGGATTTGGTCATTTTTTTGTTGTGAGTTTTATTTGCTTAAATTTGTTGTTTTGATTAGTTTGTGTATCCCATATATTTTGCCATAGAGAGTAACATTTGATTTTTAGGGCATGGATGATTACATCCTCGTATGTTACATGTGAGTATAATTTGGAGTCCGGAGATCTTGCTGCTTCCATTGCCAATTTGTCGGCACGTTCATTACCTGGAATGCCGATGTGTAATGGGACCCACATGAGTTTTATTGTTTTGGGGTTTGTGAGGATAGTATTTTGGATGTTTCGGGCGAGGTTACATTTTGTATGTATGTTGGATATGGAGGTGATTGCACTAAGAGAGTCACTTAATATGAGGACTTTGTCATGGTTAGTAGAGAGTGAGATGGTTATAGCTTCTAGTATGGCAAATGTTTCTGCATTGTATATACTGGAGAAAGGGGCGATTTTATAGAGATTGTTTTCTTCAGAGTGAGTGATGGCGAAACCGATATCATTTGCTGTTTTAGAAGCATCTGTGTAGTAGTAGATGTAATTTTTGAATTCATTGTTTATTATTTCGTTGAAAGTATTGATTATCAGACTATAGGGTGTATCTTTTTTTGTTAAATATGGTAAGTTCTGTGTTGGCTTCAATCTGCTTCATGTTCTACGGAGGGTATAGTATTATTATTATCTAACTTATTTGGTCTATTAAATAGTAAATACATTATCATATTTTTTTTTCTGGTTTCTGGTTTTTCTTGATTACCTAAACAAAGAAAAAAACAGAATCTAATTTTGGGAAGAAAACCATTGTATAGTAACAGATGGGATACAGTTGTTAATTTGTATTATTATTTGATTTGATTAAAGCAAGCATTTGTATTGAATATTCCTATATATAACTAAAAATAAAGTATTTTAATAACATTTGATTAAAAACTTTGTACATAGTTTAATATGAAAAAAAATATTTGTCAGGCTAACAATAATTATATTTATTATTATTTAAAATTAATCTAATTCAATTTCAAAATAATATATACATACATCTTATTAATAAATTTACCTAATAATGTCTTAGATTTCGAAATGGATAGTGAATATGTACTGGATAAATGTAGTGAGCCGTGTTTGCAAAAATTAAACTGTAATGATATTTGTCGTGGTACATGTGGAAAATGTAAACAAGGCCGTTTACATATACCTTGCAGTGAAATATGTAACAAGATAAACCCATGTAATCACATGTATGTTTTTTTTATTATTAAATTTAAATTTATTACATACAGTGTCGATTTTCCTTTAATCAGACTCGTTGGCAAATACACTATTTTGTCCCAATGAAGCAGATTTCACTTAATTGTTATTAGAGTTTTTATTTTTTCAGATGTAAATTCCCTTGTAAAGAACGGTGTCCACCTTGTAATAATAAGTGCTTGTATTCATGTATCCACTCTAAATGTACAAATATTTGTGGTAAACCATGTGTACCATGCAAGGTAATTCTTNTTTCGAATATCGATGAAAGAGAATGTCTCACTTTGACCTTAAAGGATCTGTCGGTTAAGAAATTGTTTATAAATTTGAGAATTTTACCTTTGACATTCCATTTTTGGGGTGCGGAGAGCACCCTATGTTTCCAAACTGTGTCATAGGCTTTCGCGATATCTAGAGAAACCATTAATAAATGATTTTCTTTTTCTAAAGCTCCACATTCGGTGTGGATTTTTGTCAAAGGGTCTATGGTGGACCGGTTTTTTCGAAAGCCAAATTGATGTGGTGAAAGGAGGTTGCGGGTTTCTAAATGCCATATAAAGCCTGGTATTGATTATGCTTTCGAGGGTTTTGCTCATTGTGTTTATGAGCGATATTGGCCTGTAGTTACTGATTTCAAAAGGGCATTTACCTGGTTTAGAGATAGGGATTATGTATGATGTTCTCCATTGTTTGGGAAAAATATTATTTCTCCAGATATAGTTAAAGATTTTGAGTAAAATGTTTAGTGATGATGGAGATAAATTTTGGAGAAAAAAAAAAAAGTATTCCGTCAGGGCCGGTGCTTTTGCTTCTTTTGTTTCTCAGTGAGGTTTTAAGTTCATTGATCGAAAGGGGTGAATTTATTGGGTTATCTGGGTTGTCTGCTTCGAATTTGATTGGAGAGTTGGCTTCTATTGTTGTTTTTAAAGTGACGAAGTTTTTACTATAGTTTTCATTGCTATTGTTCAATTGGAAAAAGGATCCAAAAGCGTCAGCAATTTCTTTTTTGTCTGTAATTGTTTTGTTGTTCGAATTAATTGTTTTTGTTTAGCTACGGTTATTGCCTTTTATGCTGTTGATCTTGGACCACATTAGGCTGGAGGATGTTTTGTGATTGATGTTGGAAGTAAAACTTTTCCACGATGAGGTTTTGCTAATATTCACTGTTTGACGTGAAATCGCTCTGCATTTTTGAGTTCTATATGGTCTGATTGAAGTTTTGTTTTCCTGAAGCGATTTAGTGCTTTTTTGTAGTTTTTGATTGCTGTTTCACAAGCTTCATTCTACCAGGGAACTTTTTTTTTTTTTTTGAAAGGAAGGTTGACTTTTACCAATCATGGATTCGGCGGCTTCGGTAATAATGTTTGAGAATGTTTCAACAATATTATCTCTATCTGTTGGGAGATTTGTTTGGAGAAGGGTATCGAATTGTTTGGTTGTTAATAGGTTGTCGATGGTGTTAAAGAAAGCGAACCAGTTTGGGTTTCGTAGGAGCCATTTGGGAGTTGATTTTTCTGTTGGTTGGGATTTGAGTAGTTTTAAGGTAATCGGCCAGTGATCATTGCTATTGTATGAAGTTTGAACTGACCAGTCTATTGATCCTCCTAATGATGCGGATGCAATTGATAAATCGAGAAGCTGTTGTGGGTTGAATTGTGTCTTGTGTAATTACCATCGTTGAGGAGGACTATTGAGTCGTTTTCTAAAAGTTTTTCAATATTTCTTCCACGTCTGTCAGTGTAGTTAGATCCCCAAAGAGTATTTCTACTATTAAAATCACCGAGTAGTATGAAAGGACGAGGTAGTTGTTTTATGAGGTTTTCGAGGTCTGTAAGAGTGAGATCTGCGCTGTCCGGGATGTATAGGTTGCATATACAGATTTTTTTACTGTTATTGGATGTTATTTTAATTGCAATAGCTTCTAGTGAAGTATTTAGTGGGATATTTTCATGTTCTGACGCTAATGAAGCGAAAATACAGACCCCTCCGCTGGCTCTGCCTTGGTTTTGGCGGTTTTTAAAGTAGCCTTTGTAGTTTTTGAGAGTGGGGATATTTTTATTGTTTTTTAGATTGGTTTCTTGTAAACACAGGGCTAAGGGTTGGAAGTCGGCGATTAGTCGGTGAACGTCTGGTAGTTTTTTGAAATAACTGTTGATATTCCATTGAACTATTGTTTCTAATCGTGCTTGATTGTGAGGGGAGGCATGGTTGAAGTATATAATGTTATTGTTTATTGTCATTTTTTTTTTTTTTTTTTTTTTTTTTTTTTTTGAGATTTGTGGACGTGTAGTTTATTATTATTTAGTTTGTTTATACTTCTGATTCATTAGAATCATAGATTTCTGCATTTAAGATTTTTATAAAACGGGTCAATCTGTTTTTTATGCTATTGTTTTGGAGGCTAGGTTTGATTTTCGTAATGATGTCTAACAATTCTTCTTTTGAAATTTTGTATTCGTTGTAAATAGTTGAAGGTTCGAACGGGCCTTGATGATTTTCGAACATATGTTTAAAGGTGATGTAATCAATTTTAAAGTTATTTTCATCGGAGAAGAATTGTTGTGCAGGTTTAAGATATGTGTCAATGTTTTCGATAAATTTTGTTAGGGACGCCGATTTGGTTTTCTTACTCTTTTTTTTTCAGTTTTTTCATTTTGAGGGGGAGTCTCCCGGTTAGGTGGAGAAAACATTTCGTTTGCTACTTAATTTGTTTCTGTTGAAGAAGAAGGGGCAGAGTGGGAGTTAAATGAGTATGGAAGAGATCTTTTAGTGCCAGAAGGTTGATCGATATCCATAAGTATATGATCTGTATTTGACGTTGTATCAACATTTTGAATTACAGGTTTTGTTGTAATCGAGGTTGAGGCGTGTAGATTGATTGGAGGTGTTTACAAAGGCTGTATATTGGATGCTTCTATTGGAGATGTTTTGTTGTCCAGTAAGGGGTGAGCTACTATTGGGGTAATGTCTGTTTTTTTAGTGTCATCTAATTTTGAAGCCGTGTTGTGGGTAGATATGACTTTATTTTCCTTTGACGTTGTAATTTGTGAATTATTTTGATTTGAACATTGGGATGCAATGTGTCCTTGGGACTTGCATAAATAGCAGGTTAACGAGTCATCAGATTAAAGAATCCGGTAGTCGGAGTCTTCATAATTGATAAGAATTGAGAGTGGGAGTTTTATTCATCATGTTGGATGAATGATTGTCTACGAAAGCTTAAAATGTGTTTAAAATCTTCGACTTGGATGCCAGCTCTTAAAAAAGTTATTGGACTGCAGAGAGGTATATTTAATTTGACAAATTCGTTCGCGATAATGTCCGGAGGTATGTTCCGGTAGATGTTGGACAGTATGATTCTTTTGTTTGGATTAAATAGCTTACGTAATTTGAAATGTTGGTTTTGTATTGAAATAATTGGATGATTTATAATTAGACTATCTATTAATGACTTGTTTGATAATAAAATACATATGCGTCCTTTGGATATGCGGGACGCGAATAGAATGTTCGCAGGTTGAACTAATTTACCGATAGCGATTATGTAATCTATATGCGGCAGGTTATCGTTTATATCGATTATTATTGCTTGGTCTTTTTTCGGTATTAGGCTGTTTGCGACTGTGGAGGCGAAAGATTGTTTACTGTTATCTATGTTGTTAAAGGTTTCTGAATTGATGACATTTTGTGTACTTTTTGATGAGGATTGTTGCAGTGGACTAGGACTTGATGTGGTTCTTAGAGGATTTGGTTTAGGAGAGGTTTTGGGTGTAATATTTGGTGACGTTTTATTTTTTTGTTTTTGTGCATTATTTGATTGAACTGGTTGACAAATTGACAGGCTTTTCAAAGCTGGTGGCTTTGTATAGATTTTAATGTTAAAATGGGCTTGCGCCCGATGGATTTGTCGTTAATTATCTAATAGTGTGTAATGTTACAAAATTTGTGCATCAGTTGCTGATAACAATATGCACGAGTTGGCCGTCCGGTGTCGTTCCCTCGGTCTGTTCGGACAGCTGACCGCGAACAGTGAATAACCAGTTAGACGATTGTGATAATCCCCGCACTAACTGGTTTGATGATGTTGTCGCCACTGCTGCCCGACGTCCCGGTCACCACCGAGTCCCACATCAAAACTACATAGGTAGTTACGGTTCGACAGTGGGATTGATACAACATCGTAAGCCCAAACTGTCCGCGCCGAGTGGGTCTCAAAACAAAAAGAAAAACACACTTTTCTTTTTGTCGTGATGTTCGGCGCCAACATGATGGGCTAGACGTACCGACTGTGGTCTGCGGTGGATCGCGAACGGAGGAGCCGTGCGACAACAACGACAACAACGACAACAGCAACAACAACAGTAATATCAGTCAGAATAACCAGAAACCCCCTAAAATTTACCGAATTTATAATATTTTTGTTTTTTTTTTATTTTATCTCAGCACTTTTCCTAATTTTGTTTTCCCCCTCTAGTCCATTTCTAGACCGTTCTAAGATTCACGTTACAAAATTATAATAAATATAAAATCAATAATGGACCGAGCTCTCTCTCTCTCTTTTTTTTTTCTCTCCCTTATTTAAAACTAAAACATGACCAACAAAAACCTACTAGTTCAGCCAACGCAACTTTGTTGTGTTTGGTCCGGCTTTTAGGTCACTGTTGAGTGTTCCCCCTCAACAGTGGGTAATGAGTAAGCCAACCGAGGTGGAGGCCGAAACCTTACAAGTGTAATTAACGAACATATTACCTGAGGTCCGGTGAGTGTAGACTATTATACTGCTATCGGAAGCTATTAACTGCGGTACTCGTGAGACGCGATAATGTGCGTGTTGACTGTACGGTGTCTAACGACGAGCTGTACAACTGAAATTGTCCTCGTCCGAATCGCCATTTAATATTTTATTTATTGATTGAAGAGTTTTAAATCCTTTATATTTTTGTAAAACCAGAGATATTTTGTTTTTAACTTTATCTGCGACTTTTCCGTTACTCTAACGCAATATAATATAATAACTTGTTCAAATAATTCCAATTTGTAGAGATATGTATGTAAATTAAACTAAATTATTTCAAATGTATGTAAAAACGTGCCAAACCATTTAAGACTTGTCTTTTTCATGACACACGTCAAAGCCGTTAGTTTGAAAAGTAATTTGTTTTTGTCGTGACGAACGCCAAACCTGTTAATTACAGAAAAATTGGATTTGATCATTGAACTAATTTTATAAATGATTTTAAAACTCTTATCAACCTATTGATAGCTCTCCTTACACAAGTAATTTCATCCCTTCTCGAAAATAAAAAATGCTAAGTTCACTAACTAATAAATCCCATATAATCTTACTTTTTAATGCCAATGGTATTAAAAATCACGTTATTGAACTACAACACGTTTTATACAACCGACGAATCGACATAGCCTTAATCACCGAAACCCACTTCACGCTATATTCAAAAATTTCTATTCCTGGGTACTTCTTACTTAAAACCAACCACCGAGACGGCACAGCCCACGGAGGAGTGGCAATTCTTATCAAATCCCAACTTCAATTCCAACCACTTCCTTGTTTTTCTCATGACTTCTTGCAATCATGTGCCATCTCGATTCAACTCAATAATATCCCAGTAGTCATAGCAACAGTTTACTCACCCCCTAAGTATAACATAACTTTAAACAACTTGTCTAACTATTTCGAAACAATAAGCAACACCTTCAATAACTTCATTATACGTTTATCCTCACACATCATCCTAGACAACGTTCTCTCTCACTCGCAATTTGGTTTTCGATGTAAGCATAACACAATTCATCAAGTGCACAGAGTCGTGGACGTCATCTCTTCCTCTCTAGAAAAGAAACAATATTGTACATGTGTTTTCCTTGACATTTCTCAGGCGTTTGACAGGGTCTGGCACCAAGGTTTATTATTTAAACTCCGGAAATGCCTTCCGTCAGCACTTTTTCTTTTAATTAAATCCTATCTAGACAATCGTCATTTTCAAACTCGCGTCGGCATAGCCTTCTCAAATATCTCAGCAATTAATGCATGTGTTCCACAGGTTGGTATATTATCCCCTATTCTATTTAATTTTTTTTTGTCTCAGATCAACCCACGCTCGCCGATACCATAGTTGCAGATTATGCAGATGACAAAGCCATTATTTCAATGCATGAAAACCCTGATATAGCTTCTGCTTCTCTTCAATTTCGTCTAGACCTAATGGCGGACTGGTACAACAAATGGAGGGTCCAAATAAATAGTAATAAATCAGTCCATATTACCTTCACCTTAAAACTTAAAGTCTTAAAATTGTCCTTCAAAATATAAGAAATCAATATGATGAATATGAAAGTACTGGTATGAAAAGAGCTAAGAATGAAGACTATAAATTAACTAGGCATAGAAAATAATTTAAGAGAAACGAGAGTAGTTTTAATGAACTAAATGCAAAAGAATCATTTAAAATAAATACTTTTTATGTTATAATTGATCAGCTTTACAGTGCTTTGGTACATAGAATTAATGCTTATACTACCGTAAGGGATAATTTTAAGTTATTATCAGACATTAAAATGGACATGAAAATTGAAGACATAGAAGGAGGAATGAAAAAGTTATTAGAAAGGTATCCAAAAGATTTCCCTGATGATTTTACAAATGAGTTTAAACAGTTTTTAAGTTTTTCGTCAACGTCTTTATCATTAATTACAACGAACGAAAATAAGAATAAAAATATTTTGCTTAACATGTATAAGATGATAATTGATTTAAATGTGACCGAGAGTTTTCCAAATATTGAACGGTTGTTACGTTTATATCTTTCTCTTATGTGTACCAACTGTACAGGAGAAAGATCATTTAGCCGATTAAAATTATTAAAAAACGTTTTAAGATCTTCATTATCACAAAATAACCTACAAAATCTTGGAATTTTAAGTATTGAAAGTGAATTTGTAAAATCTCTAAACTTTGAAGATGTGATCCAAAATTTTGCAAATGAGAAATCCAGAAAAAAAGAATTATGTTTTGATAAACAAGTTGATAGTTGCGACGATGACAGCAGCGACTAATGTTATAATAATTTATGTATTTACTTATAATTTAAAAATATATTTTATAAATAAAAATTTTCAATTTATCATAGTTTTGAGTTAAATTTTTTTTTATTCATTTGTAATATAATATAATAATATTTTGTTATTTGTAGTATTCACTCATCACTCCCCCCCTAAATTTGGTGAAAGACTATTATATATCTAATAAAAAACAATATTCTTCATATACTCATATATATATATATATATACCTGTTTATTACCTATATTTATTAAGTAATTAATTAGGCCCATCTAAATAATTTGCTTACGGCCCCCAAAGTATTTAATCCGGCTCTGTATATTTGTTAAAGTTGTAGAAGATATTTCTGCACTATGTACGGCCTTAATTAAGCTTATTGGTGTCGACAATTTTATATGTAAATCTTCAACCAATTCATTGAAAATACAAACTTCAGACCCTAGTGTATACAGAGCTTTAGTTCATTACCTAAAATCTGAAAAAGCCGAGTTTAATACCTACCAGCTCAAGGAGGACAAACTACTCCGGATAGTCATACGTAACCTCCATCCATCCACGCCTCTATATCTAATAAAATACGAGTTAGAAGTTCGACTCTACGAGGTAAGGCAAGTTACTAACGCACTACACAAAGTCAATAAAAATCCTCTCCCATTATTTTTCATTGATCTCGAACCAACACCAAAATCTTACGAAATTGTTCAACTGTCAACTACTTCACTGTAAAGTAAAAATCGAAGAGCCATACAAACCGAAAACAATTAGCCAATGTTTCACTTGTCAACAATACGGACACACCAGAACCTACTGCGGTTATCATCCCCAATGTGTTCGCTGTGGAGCGGGTCATAGAGCTGGCGGTATTTACAGTATACCGGTGAGTCATCGGTATTTGGACCTACCGGTATTTCGATATTCCGGTATACCGGTATTTGTCGGTACGGCGACGGGCGACGGCGCCACAGCGGTGCCGATTACGTGGCCGTGCTATTTCAGTATTTCGGATTTTCGTCATCTCCGATAATATTTTCGTTGTATTAGTTTATTTTTATTCTTATCTAACATGTGTTGTGTAATTATTCTTATTCTTATATTATGTCAAATATACAGAGTGTATCAAGCTCGGATGTATACTAACAATAAGTGTATATTTAATATTTATGTTCGCAGACTATGGTACACTCTATATTCATATTTTTACATACCGTTTATTACATATCTATTTTGATACCATTAGTCTACGACAAAATTATTATTACTTGGTAGTTGGTAATAGGACATGGACACGTAATAAACCAGCAATATATTCCAACCGTAATACCGATTATTAGTAAATCTCACTAAAGCACAACGATATTTCACTATTCCAGCTCGTATTACAATTTACAGCGCGCGGAACCGTAGTCGACCGATGGCGGTTATACTTATACTTATACAGTTATACACTGACGCGCATCATAAAGACGAAATTAAAAATACTGTGGCACTCAACGTGTCAACATCATTATTTACTTGTTATTTTACTTATCACTTTTAAATCATAGGTAAGTAATAATTCAAATACATTGTTTATACCTAATAATATTTAAATATGCATTTTTATTTTATTCAATATTTAATCATCGTATTTAATTTAAAACTAGTTAATTATATTATATAATGATTATTATCAATTTGTCGTACATCATTTATTTTGTTAGTATTTTGCAGAAAATGTATTAATTTATAAAATATCTATTCAATTTGTTATATATATTTCAAATGTATATTTTTAACCGTTAAGAAACTAATAATTTAATAATGATAGGAACTTATAAACTTTACTGGGCCACCTTTTTTTTGAAAATCATCAATTTCAATGATTTAAAAATGATTTAATCAAAAAAAAATTGGGGCAAATCGATATTTTTTGAGTTATACGACAGTATTAAAATTGTGTATTTTATATATCTTTGCATATTTACAACATTTTCTATATTTTATCGCTCTACGCTAATAAATTGTCAAGCATTAAAAAAAAAAATAAAAATCATTGAGAAAAAATAAAATTTCTCTTCTATTACTAATTATTAGTAATTATTAAATATCATTATTATATTAATTTTACTGTGATTTTAGTAATTAGGACAATTAGGTTTTTAATTTATTTTTCCTTAAATTTAGATAAAAAATAATTATAAAAACAAAATCAAAAATTTGGTTATATTTTGAAAAACACCCAAAAATGTAAAAAATGCGGCGAAAAAAAAACAGCAAAGGCGGTAACACGAGCGATTTAAAATCGCATCTGCGATTTCCAAGTAAAAAAAAAANATATCTTATATATAAAATTATCGTGTCACAATGTTCGTTCCCATACTTCTCCGAGACGGCTTGATCGATTCTCATGAAGTTTTATATGCATATTCAGTAGGTCTGAGAATCGGCTACTATCTAAGTTTGTATGCTCTGCGATAAGTGGTTCCGGAGTTATGGCCTCTTAAGTCAAAGTATACTAGCACGCACGATATTCAACAATTATTATTTTGCCATGGAGAGATAATATACACTCTATGTGGTTATTTTTTATTATTGGTTTCCGTGGCACCCGCGTGCCAATAACAATTGAGAACGGCTGGGCCGATTTGGCTAATTTTGCTAACCTAACCTAACCTATGTACGTGTGTTTATTTGTGACTTAGATTTGAGAACACCATGTTTATCACACGGACAATTATAAGTGGCATGCTCTCGAGTGGGTAAATCATCCAGTTTGTTTGTGTTAGCTAAAGATGGACTAACAAAAAATATTGTTCACGCTATAGCATTAAGAGATTGATATTTTTAAGGAATAAATTATAATAACTTAAAAATAATGTTTGCCTTTTGTTATTTTTATATTCCCTCATCGTTCACAGCGCTCCATGCCTCTTTCACTAATTTACCACATCCTTAAACACTTACAATAAGTTAGTTATTTTTTTTCTAGACTATAGATTCCCTAGAAATAATTTATATGGCAAAACAACGCTTGCCGGGACAGCTAGTCATATTATACAATTTATCAATTTATTTTCATACCGGTCTATTACCCACTAACTAACTATTCTATTAGATGTGTGAATTTTTTACCATTTATTATTCTAAATTATTAAATTATTATTAATACAAAAAGCGTAATTACCAATATTTTTGTAACCACTTTGTACCATTTTTCCTAATATTAAGTTACACGCACACACACAAATACACGATCTTGGATGGTGGGGAAAGCGCGCGAAGAATCTGGTGTCCGGTCTACGCGAAATATTTAAGTCTTTTAAGTCTAGCTCCCGGCCCATACAGATAGGAACTTTTAAACTTTACTGGGCCACCTTTTTTTTTGAAAATCATCAATTTCAATGATTTAAAAATGATGTCATCAAAAAATAATTGGGGCAAATCGATATTTTTTGAGTTATACGACAGTATTAAAATTGTGTATTTTATATACCTTTGCATATTTACAACATTTTCTATATTTTATCGCTCTACGCTAATAAATTATCAAGCATTAAAAAAAATAAAAATCATTGAGAAAAAATAAAATTTCTCTTCTATTACTAATTATTAGTAATTATTTAATATCATTATTATATTAATTTTATTGTGATTTTAGTAATTAGGACAATAAGGTATTTAATTTATTTTTCCTTAAATTTAGATAAAAAATAATTATGAAAACAAAATCAAAAATTTGGTTATATTTTAAAAAACACCCAAATGAAGGGCTTTGTAAAAAATGCGGCGAAAAAAAAACAGCAAAGGCGGTAACACGAGCAATTTAAAATCGCATCTGCGTTACAAACATCCAAATTTGTATTCAGAATATTTGAAAATTGATGGGTAAGCACTGAGCTTACATACATAAATACTTAATATATCAATCTTTCATAAAACTAATATTATTTTAAATGTATTATTTGAATCATTTTTAAAGAAATAGTACAATTACTACATTTGAAGATCAAGAGTACAATATTGATGATCCTGTTTTAATTAATCCTCAAAGGAATTTGGCGTCGGATAGTCAGGGCAGTCAGGCATCAATATCTAAAGGTATATATATACATTCAGTTGTAAATTCGTAGCTAGCCAAAATTATTGTTATCTAAGTATATGTAATAAGTAGGGCTAGGAAGTTGTGCATATCGTTCTAAATTCTACTCTCGATTCATAGCAGACCAAACTAGAAATCCGAGTTATAGGTACAAGGATGAGTTTAAAAATGTTTAATTTAAAATGCATATTTTGCATATTCGGTCAATTTTAGGAGAAAAGTACATATTTAATATCTTTTAAAAACAATTTAATTTATTTTGTATTTTTATCGTTATAATCGTATGTTAAATAATTGTCGTTCATTTGAATTTTAAAATTTTAAGAAACTTTTGCACAGTTACCTAATATAAAATATTTTTTTTTTTATTTAGGCATTTTTAAACAAAGTAAACTAAAAGTATATCACCCACTTGATAAAAAAATAATTGAAAAATATAAGCATGCCATTGCCGTTTGGATGTGTGCAGACATGCAACCGTTTAATTCGGTAGAAAAAAAAGGATTTAAACATTTACTTTCCGTCCTCTGTCCTAGTTTTGAACCTCCTATCCGAAAATATTATTCTGACCATAAAATTCCTCAATTATACGAAGACGTAAAAAATTGCATTAAGGAAAAATTAAAAGGTGTATCGTATCTTGCCCTCACAACTGATTGTTGGACATCAGGAAATGGTCATCCATTTATTGGGTTAACAGCCCATATTATAAATGAGGAATGGGAATTCGAAAGTTTTTGTTTGTCATGCACTTCTTTGAATATCGATCACAATAGTTTTAATATTAAAAATAGTATCAAGCAAATATTACATAACTGGGATATTGACGAATCTAAGATCGCGAGTATCACCACAGATTGTGGATCAAATATTTTAAAAGCTGTTGAACTAATATCATTTAACTATATTTCTTGCTTCGGACATGTTTTAAATACTGGTGTTACAAATGCATTTTCCTTACAACCGTACAAATATTGTACTGAAAATGCAGTAAAAGTAAGATCTGTTTTCCACTACAGTTCCAAAATGAAACGTGCATTATTAAATGAACAGACAAATTTAGATCTTCTTCCTCTAGTTCCACCGTCTTCGTCTAACACTCGTTGGTGTTCACTACTTCCATGTTTAAAATTTTTAAATACACAGAATGAAGCGTTGAAAAATATTTTAATATGCACTAAACACCAACAAATTTTACCCACTTTTAACCAGTTGAAGTTAATTGAACGTATATTACATATAATGGATCCTTTAGAACAGTTGAGTCAAGCTTTAGCATGAGAAACTAAGGTTACCATTTCAGGATTATGGCTAGTATATGAGCAACTAAAATTAAATTTAAATAAAACAGAAAATATAATACATAATTCCGTACAAAGTGCTAATTTAGAAACGAATAGTGTTCAACTATTTGACGACACTGAAGACATTAATTTTGATAAAAATATATTGCTAGAAGAATCTTCTACTTTTTTTTCTCAAATAAATTATGATACCAAAGAAGATGATGATACAGATGAAACTTTAAATATAGAACTATCGCAAGCACTCAATCACGTATAACTCTTAATAACAGATACTATATTTGAAAAATTATCTAAACGCTATTTTGAAAACTTTAAAACAAAACAATTGATACAATTAGCATCGTTTTTAGATTCCAGATATAAAGCGTATTGTTTGAATGATTGTCTAAATTCATAATATTTTGTTAATGATTATCTTCTCAACTAATCTGGAGATCAATCAGGAAAAATAAATCGCTTTCATCAGAAAAAAAACGTTATTCTGGTAAGTTTATAATATTTAAAAAAAAATTTATTTGACACATAACTATAATGAAACATTTTGTACAATTTATAGCCATAACTTTATTTTTAAGCAAAAATGTACGTTCTGAATCAACATTAAATGACCAAAATATTTTTGAGGCGAAAATCGAAAAATATATTCAAATTCCCAAAGCAGACCTAGATTCAGACCCTCTTGCTTGGTGGATATAAATCAGAGTTTCCGAATTTATCTTTATTATCAAGAAAATATTTATGTATACAAGGCACTAGCGTACCTTGTGAAAGATTGTTCAGTTACGAAGGTAACGTAATTACTGATAAACGTACATCATTATCAGCAAAACATGCTGAACAACTAATATTTTTATCAAAACAATTTTAAAATTCTCATATGATAGTTGATTAGTTGATAGTTAACTAGTATGATTTTTATTTTTAGTATTTCGGTAATTTTTAATTTAATTATATTAACTTTGTTGTGTAAAGTAACACATTTATGTAAAACAAATATTACTACTATTATTATTTATTATATTACTTTGAATTTGTTAAAATCATCAAAATGACAATTTTTATGATTAAGATATAAAACAGTGTATACTTATAAAAAGTATATATGAGTGAGTATACCTTTGTTATTTTATTGTAAAAGGAACACATTTTTAAATATGTATTTTAGTATATACCATTACCTATTATAAGTAATATAATTATTTTAACATGTATGGCTATGATTTTATGTTTTAGTGTATAATNGTTATAATGACTGTGATATTATAATATCTTATAATTCTTGTACCTAATTAATAAAATTTATTACTTTATTATCAAACAAGTAATTTTTATTTCAGTTGAATATCTTTTAAATATTTGTCTATGCATTTTGTCTTACTCTCATATTCGTGTAAACCTTGTGTGTCAGAGTTATTTTTATAATTAATTTTTTTTTGTTCCGATTCACATTAAAAATTTGTACTTTCCAGTTTCTACTACCACCGTGTTCGGTAAAGGAGCTTTTAGTCTTTAGGCACACTTGACCTTGTCGTTTGAATTATATATTAAATTAAATATATTCAACTTATACAGTTATACGTAACGTGTTACTAATATTTTGATACCTATCCTAAATAATGTTCCATGAATTTAATATACCTATAGTCTGCACAAAACAACACGACATGATGAAGTGTAAAGACGCCTCAACGTATTAACGAAGTTTGAGACTATACGGAACACGGCGATAATATACGGTATTTATATGATCTAAAATACATGTAGTATTTACCGAAGAGACGGTATTTATCTGAGAGATGATATTTACCGAAAAAATTTACGGTATTTACCATACCGGTATACCAATAAAAATCGGTATGTAAACACATACCGACTACCGATGAGTGAATTTCACATACCGCCAGCTCTAGCGGATCATCAGTTAACTGCTTGCCCGAACCCACGCGATGATCCTCCGAAATGCGCTCTCATTGTTCTCAAAACCACCCAGTCAACTACAAGGGCTGCTCAATTTATAAAGAACTCCAACATCGTAAGATATTCAGCACACCAAGTAATCGAATACATAATAATTTTAATACCCAAACCACTAATGTACAAAGTAGCCATCCACCTGATCGCACTTTTCCTAATCAACTCTCTCCTCAAACGCAAACTTACGCTCAGGCACATCCAAAATACCAGCTAACAGTTTTCCTCCTTCTACTACCGATACTCAGCCTCTAGATTTAAGCAAATTATTGACTAACTTTTTAAATGAATTCAAAAATGTCATAAATCCACTAATATCTCTGTTAACTAAAGTAATCTCTAAGCTCCTCGACAAATAATGGCTAATAATAATAAATCCGTCACCGACAATTCGCCATTTATATTACAATTTAACGCCAATGGTTTAAAAAACCATGCCCTTGACCTAGAAACTGTATAACCGATTATACTTTAATTAAAACAAATCACTCCGACAATACCACGCACGGAGGCGCTGCTATTTTTATTAAATCCAATATTGAATTTTATCCTTTACCTAGGTTTTCTCAATCCTTTCTCCAATCTTGTGCTATTAATCTGAAGATAAACAATACCCCACTCACCATCGCTGCTATATATTTACCCCCAAAACATAACATTAAAAACTCTTAATTCGCCGACTACTTCAACTCATTTAATAATAACTTTATCATAGGCGGCGATTTCAACGCCATACATCAGTCATGGGGATGTCGCGTGAATAATCCTCGAAGAGTCATCTTATACAGCTTTATAAACATAAAGAGATTTAAAGTTCTAGCCCCACCTGATCCAACCTACTGGCCTTCTTCGGCCCATAAAAATCCAGATATTCTTGATATTTTTGTATCCAAATTACCGAACAATTTATTCCACATTACTAAAAACTTGCTTAATTTAAATTCTGACCAATCATTGATACTCCTAACTCTCAATACCTCCCCTTCTGTTAAAGAAACCAATAATTTATTTAACAAATTCACAGATCACTTTAAATTTCACGAATTAGTCAATAGAATAATTAAGCTAAACACAAAATTAAAATCTCCCAATGACATAGACTTAGCGGTCCACAACCTCACTAATATAATACTAACTTCAGCATGGTTCTATAAACACTACTCCAACACCTTCTTCAGCTAGCCCACTCCCCGAGTATATATGCAACAAAATTGTAGAAAAAAGAAGAGCAAGAGCTCTATATCAGCGCACGCGTCTACCTTCCCATAAACTTTTTTACAATAAACTAGCTAATTCATTAAAAAAACTGCTCACCGACTTTAAGTCGAACATATGGCAAAAACACTTAATGAAACTTACTCCCAAAGATGGAGAGAAATAAAGCAATTACTTCGCTATAAATCACCTAATCTCCCTATTAAACAATTAGATGGCAGATTAGCTACTTTGGATATCGAAAAAGCTGAACTTTTTAAGGATCATCTTGCTAATACATTTTAACCACACGCTGATATTATAGACGATGAAAACATGAATCTAGTCGAAACTTTCTTAAATATGGCGGAGTTTAGGTAGTGATCCTTTCTTTGACCCCTGAATGCTCTAGAAAACTCTCCGGTGTCGGGCGCCTAATAGTCGCTGGATAACATTACCAGAATAAAAAGTCAATGATGAATTAGATTTTGCAGGTGAGTTGAGTTTATTAATTCCACTGAAAATTTCATCATTGCCAGTAAAATCAGATCTATACATAGCAACATTTGATTTTTCTTTTGTTTCATATGAACACCAACACATTGCCACCAACGTTTCGCTACGAGATGTTTTTTTCATTTGAAACCTAGCGCCGTATCTTGTTTTTTTTTTTATCGTATACTAGTGTGATTGTCAGTATTACATATAGGGTACATTAGGGGCACTTGTAACGTCCAAAAACTACCATTTTCCGTTATCAAAGTGCAAGCATACCTACAATCAATATAGTCAACCGGTTAATAAATTACGCCCGTGACGACGGTAGCCGTTAACAAAGCCCAACTTAGGGGGAGGCTTGGGGGGCTGCAGCCCCGGGCCCCGATACTATTTGGGGCCCCGGACCCCTGTTGATATTTAATTATTAAAGTGGCATTGTGAAATTTTATAATATTATTTCTTTCGTAGTTTCGTAGTTTTCGTAGACATTTACTATTTACAAAATAAATTAGTCACGTATCGTAATGGAATTTAAGATTATTATCTAATCAATAAAATAAGCTATTAAGTTTTAAGATAAAGTTGGTCAAAAGCACTTTATTATTATGATTACGTAACTAGAAATATCAACTAAATATTTCGGTCTAATTTTAGATTCTACTCCAGATAGAGCACATAAAGATCAATTTGCTGTTGTTGTTAGATACTGTTATAAAGGGTTAGTTGTTGAGCGATTCTTAACATACATACATATATTAAGTCATACTGGCATTTCGATGGCGGAAGAAGTAAGTAATACATTTTTTGGAAAATAATAATATTAATTTGCAACATTGTAGAGGTCAATCATACGATAATGCTAATAATATGACTGGTATATATGAAGGTTTACAGGCTCAAATAAAAAAAAAATTCAGTGTTGCTTTATTTTCACCTTGTTTTGCTCATTCCCTAAATTTAGTAGGGACACATGCAGTGAAATGCTGTTTAGAAGCAATCAATTTTTTTGGTGTTGTTCAAAAATTGTATGCATTTTTTGTGGCTTCAACGCATAGATGGAATTTGCTTTTACTGGTTTACAATCGGAAGAAAAAAATAAAATTATTGTTTTGAAAACTTTATGTAATACTAGGTGGGAGTGTCACGCTGAGTCCTGTAAAGCTATTATCTTAAATTATGACCAAATTATATGTACATTAACGGATATTTATGAAAATTGTAATGAAAACCAAGAAAATCGTCATGTGGCTAAATCAATGAAAAATAAAATGATAAAATTTAAAACAGCTTTTATGGCAGTTATGTAGAGTGAAATTTTATCGCAGACTAACAGTGTTAGTAAATACCTTCAAAAACCGGGAATAGATTTGTTTACAGCTGTAAATTTATTAAAAACTTATGTTAGTTCATTAAGAGAGAAGTTTATATATTTTGAAAACAAAGCAAGGGAGTTATCAACAAATATTTTGCCCTGTGGAGACAAAATTGTTAGAAAAAAAAATTTCTCGGATGGTACAATAGAAGGAAATTCAAATTTTTGCGAAATAAGAAAGTTGGAGGTTGATACTTTTTACGTTATTATTGATCGTTTAGTTAATGAACTTGATAAAAGATTAAACGCATATGATAATCTTTGTAGTATTTTTTGGTTTATTACAAAATTTGGTTTACAAC